TCATGGATCAAATGGTTGCATTGAGGTTCCAATAGAATCATTTTAAAGCTTATAGTACTTAGCTATCGGATCCTTTAGTCAAACAGAAGTAACAGATTCCACGCAATTCTAGTAGCAGCGGTAGTGTGAAGAAATAAATATATTTCTTATCGATATCGGCTTTTAATCAATGTCTCAGGAACCAATCATCGTACAGGAATCCTAAGGGTTATTATAAAATCTGGAATGGATTCTCTAAACGGGCTGGAAGAGAAACAGGAAAAACGAGACACTTTTGTTTTTGGAAAACCAAGGGTTAAATTTCGATATTGCTAACGATAAGCGTGACTCACAGTTTCATTATACTAACAGTAACCATCTAAAATTTCACTTTGACTTACGCAGATGTTTTCTTGTTTTGAGCAATCAAAATTTCGAAAAAATTAAAGGGCCACGTTTATTCTTAACTCTAACTTTAAAATTGAAAGCACTTTTTTACACGTTTTTTCTTATAAAAAGCGTTAACATTTTTTAATAATTTTCTTCCAAGAATTTGAATGCTGTTTCATTTTAAAGTTAACATCAATAAACGTGAACCTTTTATTCCGAACTGTGGCTGTTCAAAACAAAATAGCGTTCGGATGAATCAAAATGAAATTTTACAGGAAGGACATTAGGCCATTTTTTAAGCTCAGTATTTGTAGTTTATCCCTACGTTTTCAAAAAAATTACTTCTTTTTTCCTGCTTCTTTTCAAACCCATATAAATGATATTTGATCCTCTTATAAAATTCATTCCAGCTTTCGAAGCCATATTTAGATTTTCTGTACGATAATTGGTTCCTGAGATATCGATAATCAAAGCCAAAATACAACATCTGCGAAAGAAATGGACGTATCGAAGTTTTAAAAAATCATATTGACGCTAAGGCCTCCATGGTGGTTAAGGTATAAAAAATAAGCAGGCCATTGTGTCCATGCAACGGTTTTGCGACCCAAGCAAAGGATAATTTTTTTCCTTCACACTATATGATACTAAATCTTAAATCTAAAAATCAGACATTTGCAGCTTTGAAATTCTCGTTTAGAACCTCAATAAGAACATTCTCGCTGATTTACACCAGTACAAAGAATCCATATAAACAATTTGATCCCTTAATTTTTTCGACTAGTGTAGTTCAGCAATTGTTTTCTGCTATAGTCTATCTATGTCACAAATCTGAAATTCTCTTGATAGCTAAAGATAAGCCTAATTGAAAGGTAAATAGTACAACTGGTCCTACAAAGTTCCACAGAAAATTAAAAAGCGTTACGAATCATCTGCGTCTCACTGTGGAACTCTTTGTACACTAGTGATTCCTGCACGAAATTGTAAGATTCGGCTAATGAAAATACCGGACCTATTTAGACAAAATATCTGATTCTCCAATTAGCAAGATTTTCAAGAAGTTTTGATTAATCATCGTCATCGCCTTATTTGTATTTTTATGATATAAGAGCCGTTTTACACACAAGAGAATTACTCTGAAAATTATGGTCATAATTTGCATGGAAAAAATATTGAAGATTTTCTCTACAAAGTGTATGACCAAGCAAACAAAATTTCGGAGTAATTCATATGATACGCCTGCGCATTAGAGTAATATTTTCGAATGGACATAACCTTAACGGGTATGACGTCCAATATAATCGGAAAGACAACAGATGTCGTTGATTTAAATTTATTGTTGAAATCGAGATCTTGGTTAATATTATAAAACTTCTCAATGCTTGGACTATCGCATCCAGCGCCTGACGCCGCAAATTTCTGGTTTTGTAATTGGGTGATTTCACCTTGTACAGGTTTGGCCATTTTGGTATTCCTCCAATAACAGTGTAACTTCTTCGCTTCTTCCGGATTCCACGACATTATGAATAAACAATAACAATAATCGCTCCTTCGTACGACACGAACAGGACCACACCCACAAATTTCAAGTGAGGTTATGTTGTTGACGTTGACATTTGATATTGACATGCATGGAAATAACCCTCTGCGCCGATTCTCGCAGCATATTCTAAAGAACGGGTTTTATATTTTTACCATGAAAATTTTCACAAGAATTCTTTTACGTATAATATGACAGCAAAAATTTTCGGCATAATTATGATCATAATTTTCGGAGTAATTCTCTTGTGTGTAAAACGGCACTAAGAGATTGCTAGCAACATACCTCGATCTACGATCTACTTAAACGAATAAGAAAGGCGTGATTGGAACCATCATGCAGACTTCGAAGTTGAGTCATTTATTTTAACAGTGAGTAGATCTGATCAAAAGAAATGTTTTTTTCCTTTAACATTTTTCTGGTAAAATTAAAATAACAAAGTTATAGCCCTTTAGAAGTTTGAGTACCGTCCTGTCTCAATAATAATATTATGTGCTCGTGTTTGGCAACAACGGATATAATCCGCCTCATCCGTTCATCGCATCGGAAACAAAAAAGCGAAAGAATTTGAAACGATGTTTTTACTACAATGTACAATCTTATTCAGTTATATTCAGTCGATGTGTCAGTCGGTAACGCGTGAGTGAATAGTGAATAAAAATGGCACATGTTTACGAAAATGCTGAATGTAGTACAAAGGGCTCGTGAATCAGGTGACTTAAGACCTCACAGGGGAGAGCATGCCGGTGCTCCAAGACCGCACGATCAAATACAGGTCCGCACTGAAATACTTGTCGGGAGGATACTTTATAAAACAAGGTAACATGTTTTTTTATTTTTTTTTTATTTTTACACACATATTTTGGTTTATCTTCCTTCTACAATCATTATCTGAAAATTAATGACTCAACTTCAAAGTCACCCTGTATAAAACAATACCTAGTGGGAATCGCTTAATCTTACAATTAGACGACGCTTCAAGCTGGTTTCGCGTAAAAACTTTTTAGTTAAATCGCAAACACTAGTTAAAACAATTCACGTCCCAAACCTTATGGGTATTGAAACTAGTCTAATGGCACCGTGTGGTAGAGCTACAGGGCTGCTACTTTCTGATGAACATGTACTGCACAGCACACATGTTTTCTTCTTACTTCCTACTATTATACCTCCTGATTTGATTTGTGCTTACATTATGCAAGTAAATATGCTGAAATATGGCGTCGATATTAAGATACGAGAAAAGCTACATATGTACCTGTGCGATCTTAAGAGACATATAGCTGAATTAGACAACTATTTTAGAGATACAGCACTCGATGGAGTATTTTCTTGCATTGAACAAAATATAGTATTTACAGCGTGCCCAACAATATTGTTCTCATAACTGGTTTACTGATGTTTTGACATTTGCGAGTAAACCTAACCTCACTTATGGCTATTCTATACATTGTATATAGTCTTCATCATTCACAATTCACAGTATACATATTGTTTACATTGTATACGCATTGTATGTTGTATACGCATTGTCTACCATGAAACATAGGCAACAACAGTTTCCATTTCAGTACATGTTGTATTTGGCACTTTTGCACTGATGAAATTTTGCAGATATAGAAGTAATAACTTGTCACTCAACGTAGAGAACCGTACTGAACATGGCGCCCGGCCACGTATTAACAAACCCCAAAAATCAGACAGCGTACAATAAATCACTTTGCTATTTACAGTCCTAGGATGCTCCAGCTTTGTATTGCTCAGGGCCATATCGTCTGTCATTCCTACAGTTGTAGGACCCTTTTATGGCCTCCTTGATTGTCATAGTCTTTACTCTCTTTTGCACCTGTTCCGTGTCAGCGTCAGCGCTCTCCTCTTTTTGAATTGTAGGTAATTTCAGGCTGATAAAACATGGTATAAATCAGAAGCATGAACAATTTGATGCCAACAGGTATTTGTTATATAACCTCAAAATAGAGCGCTGACATGGAAAAGTAGAAAACTATGAAAATCAAGGAGGCCATAAAGGCGTCCTACAATGGTAAGAACGACTAACGATACGGCCCTTAGGTATACTGAGTATTGTTTGCTGAGATGTGTACAGCTGTACCCAGATGCTTATATCTTTGAGTGCCCTCAAAGTGTGTTTCTTCACATCTTGGAAGACTATACAGTTTTTTTCTAGTAACATATACACCAAAGTCGTAAGATTACCGAGATGTTTGACAAAATCAGTCAAACCTAAAAACAAAACCTAATCTGGTCCAGCACCTCGATTACATTAAAGGTGAACACGTACGGTGACCGCATATGTAAACAAAACCTTTACACATCGGTTCTAAATAAAACAAAAATGGCACACTTCTACACCAATATCGAAGTTGCCAATATTATTTTAATTTACGAACCCAGGCTTCGCGAGTGCATGCAGATCGTTTTTAAAAATCCTTCTCGATTAGATTTTCTGTTTGGAGCGTATGTCATGTTTAGAGTATGAAACTGAACTCGCTTGTCGAACTACGTGTGCGAATTTAACAATCAACTGCATTAATTCGGAATAGGCAGTTCATTCTTTCAGGACACCCTGTATAAGAAACCTTTCATTTCAAACGAGTATGTAGTATACTTATTTTGATCAGCACACAACTTCCACGAAATTCAGTAGTACTTCCATTACACGTTATTCCTAAAAAACTCCCGTTTGTTTCCAATATTTCGACTCCGATATGTAGTTGCTTGTAAACTGAACAAGAGCAGTTGCTCCCGATTTAAATGGTTTGCTTGAATCTAAATGTTTGTCTGTTCATCAATGTCTCTACGTCCTATCATATCCTTTGTCAGGACTTCCATTTTTTGGAACCAATCAAACTCTTTCTAGGTCAACGCTTTGTAAATCGAGGCATGTTGCTGGCACTCTGATCTGGTCATCATCTCTTAGAAGTTACCTAGAATAGCAACGGTGCAAAAATTGTTGAAAGAATCGAAAAACTCATTTAGACGTTTGTACACATCAAAATACACATACACAATTTGTTAGTATGACGGACTGCAGGAGAGGAAATGCAAAATATTTGAAATGCTTACAATAAAACAAGAATGTAGATTTCAGGAAACGTATATATTACTACAAGTATCACAATATTCCAGAAAGGTGAATAAAAAGCTATACAAAATATAATATATTCAAGTTAGTCAGCGATGCTTTAGTACAATGTATTTTTTGTTAATTTCTGCGAACTATGTAGAATATCCTACAAATACTAGCTGCGTCGAACTACGGATTTATTTACTAGGTATGTATATTATGTGAATTATATTGTATTGTATTACAGTTATACAACAAAGGCCATAACATAAGTGCGTACACATGTTTTATGAAAAAACATAGTTCTATATAATTTTTGTAACAAATAAGATTTAGTGATCTGTTAATATCTGGTGAAGAGTTAAATTCAACATAGAGAACTAATAATTGGGCTATTCAGTTTGAGATTTTTTGAGAGATGAGACATTTTTTGTTCTTAGTTATAACATGGAAGTTAGAAAAATAAAGAATACTATGTTCAAATGTCGTTGCGTCAGAAATGTTGAGGATATATTATTGTTATTTTCAAATTCGTATCCGACTTGCATAATAGCAAAACAAATAGTGTAAAAAGATAAGAAAATAAAATTTTATTTTTATGCTATTTTGAATAGCGGTTTCATGCTGATATAAAATTTTAATGTCAATAGCTATTCTGTCTTTTAATAACATAATATGCGTTTCGATGAGGCTAATTTCGAGATCATTTTAGCTTTCAGTATAGTCAATAAATTGTATTGGGCTTTGCATAATTCTCTAAATAAACGTCAGTCCAGCCTAAGATATTTCCTGTTTTCATGTTACAACTATTAACAGAATCAACATCATTTAAGCTTCGCTTAGACGCGATAAGAGTAGTGCCTGTATGTGGTTCCTCCAGGCAACCTTCCACTACTTGTAGAGCTATAGCTGGAGCTGTATCCTCCAGGAACACCATCTCCACGGGAGCGAGAGCTACGCTCTGTCGAGTAGCTGTATCCTCCTGGACCTCCAATGTTAGAACGGGTCACACTTTCGTTGGACGAGTATGAACGGTTTGTTGGGCCGTATGGATCTCCATACCTAAAGTGTACACGCGGAATTAGAAGCGTAAACTACCATTACTCTACACGCATTACGAGCATAAAATCTTGTTAATTAATATTTTTTGAATCAACAGAGGTTCCCTATAGAACTACTGCAGTGGAGTATTGCTGCATGTTGCATTTAAATTATACAATCTGTTACTGATCAGCAAATGGAAGCATTAATTACACTTACAAGCGAAGGTATTCAATACAAGAAGTAAGGTTTGAAGAGTTGACGTTTACACAGTAAAAGTATTTAAATTCTGCAATTCCTCATTTCAAGTCATATTGAATCATTAATGTCCACTTTCAGCTCTTTAGTTTTTTGTCGTCTAACAATAAATAAATTGTAAGTGAAAGGTTATTGTAAACAAAGAATTATAATACAGCGCAGTGGTCCAGAAAAATCTACAGTGTATTCAAGAAAATGATGGGATAACAGAAATGGTGCTTCGATGCTAACCAACTAATAGAAAGGTATCACGACTTAACAACCTCTTATATGAAAAAATGTCGATTCACATAATGACTGAGTTCTGTAATTACAGTGATAATAACAGAACGTCGTACTGAAGATGTGTAATCTCTACTTTCTAGAGCTTGAAAAGTGACAAAAGGCATTTTTTGATAACTGTATTGAATTAAAGTTAAAAGGAGCAGAATCGGCATAATAACTTTTCCCCAAATTAATAGAAATCGGAACGGAGAGACTAAATTCTTTGAAATTCATCTGAAATAGATTTAACTATGCATACTTTTTTCTTATATAACTTACCATTCCCCAATAATCAGAGTACAAAAAGTTGCTCTGTTCTTACAAATTGGTGGTAAATTTCTTGAAAGACAATGGATAAGAACTGGAGAATCAACTTTTGCTTCAACCTGTTACGTAACCTATCTTGAAACTGCGGAGCAGAAACTAAATGCTTGTTGAGCATAGTTATAGGTTGAGCAAGCAATAGTGATCGGAACGCGAGAAATATTTTTCTGATCCACTTCCAATAATTTTTTGTTTGCAACGATTTGCTTTTTAACTTAGAAACACTTTTGTTCCTCAACCATGCAAATGTTATAAATCGCATATGAAGTGGCATTGTCCTTAATATTATCATAATATTAAGAAGATGCAAACAAATTAATACCAATTGTCAATTGTAAGCAAAATGGACAAAGTAGCATATAAACTTTTATGAATACTCTTTACTATCACACAAATCTTTTATCTTGGAGTTGCGACATTCAAAGTATGTTCAATTCATTTGCATTTGTAAAGAAGAAGAAATCACCATTCATTCAAAAAACATCTGGTATCTTGCACTAAAATCAACCTGGGCTACTGAATAAGAAGCTCCAAGCAACTAACATAGAAGCATGATCGTGGAAACGATGTGGCAGAAAAGAAAGAGCAAAATGGATCTTTGTAAATGTTAATGGATTCATTTATTTATTTAAAAGCGTAAGTGAATACTGTGCAACAAGGTTGTCTTATTAGACAGCTATGGGTAATCACATGACGGTATAACTTTATCATGCTATCTATTTTCATACATATAATCTAAGATCCAGCCACTTGAATCTACAGGTATCTATGTTTTTATATTATAACTTAATTTCTATGGATGAGAATTTATTCGCAATTACCTGTAACTAAATACAGAGTGACTTTTTAGTGAGGGCATAGTGTCTCCATAGTATGCTCCTTACTGGAAAAACATTCTTATCTCTAGAGGGTGATTCAAAACGATGTGATGATCCGAACATGCATTTTTTAAGAGGGAAACATTACTTTGGTCACAGATTTGGAAACACTCTTTCAAATTAAGCAATTTGATACTATAGGGCGGGCTCTATTTCCAAATTGTTGAGATAACTGACAATCTATGGGAAAAGACATTGAACTTTGTTGAAAATATGATTCCATATTTTGTTCCTATCTACTTACTTCTTGAGTTTCTTGGCTAGTTTATGCAGGAGCGAAAATTAATTATTTTTTAAAATTTTCAAATTAGAATATTAATAATATATACTATATTATATACCCTGTATAATTTCTCATTTAAAATTTTGTGAGGAATCGTTCATCTTGATCACCCTGTATAAACTGTTCAAAAAACTGAAAATGTAAGGATATAGGAACAAAATATTGCATCATAAAGTTTTATTGACGAAAAACTGCAGCTACAAAGATAATCCTTTTGTTCTATATATTGTCAAATATTTAAACAATTTGGAAATAGCTCTCAATCTGCAATAAAATATAATGATCTCCACTTAACAAAATGCATGCACATATTTAGTTACGAATCACCCTGTAGTACAATTTTAAGATACTATGTGCAATCACAGAGTTACCGACCGAGCCTACACTGAAAACTCATCATGTATTTAATTTCAGGTAATTGCGGCTAAGCTTTGCCAGGAAACCCTGTTGTAATCTATTCTTACTATTACTTAAAATCCATAAAAACCGAATTTTATCAAAAAAACAACTGATACATGCAGATTCAAGCGGCTGGATTTCGTACTAATATGGTTGGTTCCAGAAACAAAATTAACATTATGCCTTAAAATGACTATCCAGAACCCTTTACATATTAAGACGTAAAAAAATTATTTTGCAGCGCAGTTTCTGAGACAACCTGTATACATCAAAATTTTATTCAAAACAACCCATTTTAATATTTATAACTTATATAAAAATATTTATTAGGTTTTTAAATAACAGCAAATATTCATAGAAGGGTGAGTCTAAATATATGAGTTTTAGACTAAGTTCGTTATTTTTACATTATTAATTTTACTTGTTGAGGTATTGCATGTGAGGTATATGATAAATGAGTTTGCTTCGAACCCGAAAGAGCTACCTAGTCGCATTTTGGGCATTTACGAGTAATGGTTCAAACCATTAAAAATCTAATAATGCATCATGTTCCCAAGCATACTCTAAACCTTAATTACAAATTAATATCCTTGAATGATTTTTCAAATGCATAGAAATAAAGCTTGGAATAGCGTTATCCGTGGGAATGACTAATCAACTCGTCGAGTAGCCAATATGTTCTGGCAACGTTCGAAGGACTTTTGAGCTCCGGACTTTCAATAGGCTGATTGACGCTGTTTCGAGTAGGTCTTAAATGTCTACTATTTGTTCTATTGGATCAAAAAATTAATATCATATTGTTTTCAGACCTAAAAGACCGTAAAACTTAAATTCAATGATATATTTTTCTCAGACAGTGCGAAAACGCTGTACGCCTTGTTTGGCTTACATATTAATGCGCTCTGACATCATACCATTTAGAAATAGCACTGGCAGGAGCATAATCTCTCAAACTTATAATTATTATTAAAAATCAAAAATATGTTTTTTTTTAAATTGTGCTCTTAAAAACTGAAATCAATATATTCCGTTTTCCTAGGGCAAATACTGTGAGAAATACTCATTTATTCATATGAATATGAGTCAAGTAGACTATTGCGTCTGGTCTAGACAATTGAGTGACTGAAATTCCTGAACAAATTCCTTTGAAAAAACAGTACCTACATAGCAGCAAACAAACTGTGAAAAGCTACTCTTTCTTTTCTAGTATTTTCTACTTCTGTCAAATTGAATGATGCTAAATCTTGTGCAACAATCATAGCCTAATGTTCCTTGATCTTTGTCTAGCGAATCGGACCTTCTCCGTATCGGTGTTTGACTAGATGTTATGACAATCACCCTCAGGATTCACCTTTGAGACAATCAACATCTGGAATGCTCGCGAATTGAATAGCAATTCCTAGAATTTGCTACATCTCTAATTTCAGTTGCATAGCATTAGCTTATCAACAATTTCAGTGCTACTTTCATGCATTTTTTACATGTTACTTGACTAAGAAGCTCTACAAACATAACTAATATATTATAACTACTTCATGATCTATCAACTAACCGGTTGGATGAAGAATCCACGTTGGAATTGTAGGAGTATGAGTAATTCTGCTCAGATGTACGGTAACTACGCTCAGGTGTATCACGGACTACGTAGTGTCTACTGGGGCTCTATAGAAAAAAAAATAAATTTCAAGATACAAAATAAGGCTTTTTAAATTCTCTTTCTAACTGACACAAAATATACAGAATGTTGAAAATAGTGTTTTTAAAAACAATTTCAACATCCTGCGGGAAAGCACACATACATTTTATTACTATTTATATGATTTATATGACCTCCCCTGTGTGTTTCACGACCTGTATCGTCTCGGTTGGATGTTCGTGATTACCTAGATACCTGGCCCTTAGATGTTACTAATTTTATCATAATTGGCTGTTAGACCATTGGAGTTAAGCAACAACAGATTACTAACTAAATGATAAGTACCGAAGTTTTAGAAATATTAGACCTTGATTTGCGAGGTCGTCTGGAGAACAACAACAAAGAAACTTGTTGCATTTTTGTTGATCAGTAATTTTTACAGGATGTTAGCGTGCTGAGATTATTTCATGATTTTATACATATAGAACCGTTTCTCATATCATCTACTCATCAATGTGGAACAGCTTCTCTTATATAAAAAGACAAATTCGATCCAAGCAATGAGAACTAGCCTCTTTTTTATTGATATAAGTAGCACCTAAGGCTTATCCTTATCCTCGTTGATCAATATCCATGTTCTAATGACCCACATATGAATTATTTTCTGCCCCCTTGGCAGTCCTGTTCAAAGTATAAAATGGCAGCATGTAGTGCGTCGTAACAATAGCTCAACAGTCCTGAAAGCCGCCGAGGTCGCGAAAAGCCATAATTTCAACAACAAAAAATCGCAACGTCGGCAATCCTTTAAATTCTACATCTGTGGTTTCATTCGGCAGACAGTAAAATATGGGGGTGGATCGTGTTTTAATTAATTTGAAATCTTCGTATGACTCAACCTACAATCGATAGCATTGGGGTCAATAAGTAAAGCATTTGATTTGAAGTACCACCTGATTACCAAGAAAAAACATTTTTCTACAGTTTACCTTAACAGCTAAAATGATTTGGCCGCTACAAAAATATAACACATACCTGTTAGTAGTACAAGAAACGGAGAAAAACACGAAATAGTATATGCTAAATGAAGTGGTATGATGATGTCACATAGGTTACACGCTATAGATTTGATTGGTTATACAAATAAACTACAGGGCTGGCTGGGCTGCGTTCGTAAATTGTTACAGAGTATACTTTGTACTAGTCTATAGCGTTCGTAATTGTTTGACGTACCTGTTCCATGCGTTCGGAAATAGAACATAGTAATCCTTCTGGAACGTTCAAAAGCACGCCTTTATTCCCGTGCTCAAAACCTTGGGAATAAGAGTGTTGTCACTTGTCATTCTCGTGGTTCAGTATTTGTTTCCTTTATTTGATTATCAAAAAGTGTTCAAAATTGGCAAAACATATTTTTCACGATAATTGGGCTACCTCATCCATAGGGTTTCGTATAACAAATACAATGGTCGCTGAACACGTGGTTAGAAATTAGTCGACTGGCATCCAGCGTCATTACAAATATCTGTAATAATCTAATCTGAAAATAGTGTTTCACAGTATTCCAGGGTAAAATTTTATCTGTCAAGTTATGTACAAACGCAGCCCTGTACCAAATGACATGACAGCCTAAGGGCTAATGAGATCATAGAAACATCTTATCTGTATACTATTAAATAAGATCTTCTCAAAGTGGTATGCACACATTTGAAGTATAATTATGAGATCCACAAATATAATGTTTTACTACATTATAGCATGAGTAACGCTGAAGCATGGTATGTATGCTCTTGGGATCAGATACAGCTTAACAGTAGAGAGCTAAATCAAAATGCCAAGCAAAATAGGGCAGCTGAAGATTTACGTATTGGTTGATCGTGTTACAGCGCTACTCATCATGGCTAAACCAAATAAATCATATTGATCTAATGCATTTTCAAATTTACTGTTATTATTCCACAGCTCAGAACTTTGAATTAGGAGTAACTTACGAAAAATTAGGAGCAGAACATCAGGAATTGTTCACGGGCAGTCTATGTGTGCTGTTTTCCAATTTTGCGACAAATTCGTTGAATATATATTTTTTTCAATGCAATTTGACCTGTTAATATGTATGTATATGTAGCACAAATCTTGAAACTGAAATTTTGTATGAACGTTTGATCGGTTCACAATGAACTGACTATAGTTTGATATACGTATCGAATAAAAAGACTTGATGAGCGAAGATATAATATAATGTAAAGCGACTTCATTCTAAACCCAATATGACGGACTTCTAATATGATAATGCAATATTGATTTTTGTCATTGGGGTATAAAGTACCCCAGCAGTCCAAGCATATGATTCTATAGAAAAAATTTATGTTTTTTCCAATTTTGCAAAAAAATACTTTTTACAATTCTTATTCCACGTTTTCACGTCTAAATAACACTCCCGGCACGTTGGATTATTGTAGTTATCACTATACAAGGTCAATACTCAATGGAAAACAAAGTATAATTTTATTCATCATAAGAAAGCTTCAATTTCATTTAACATTTTAATCGAGCGTAAAGTAATTTATGTAAGCTTTATGCAAATTTCCTGTTTAACTGTTCACTTAACTATATTCTCAACAACATAAGGTAAGCTAAATATCTCTACATCTAAAATGTTCGTCGTTTAATTATCAAGAAGGGTGCTCTTCTTGAGTGTTTTGAAAAAGTAAACAGTTTTTCAGCCATTTTAAAAGTTCATCATAAACAGTTTCGTTACAATTGTAAAAATACACAACGAGTTACTTAATAAAAAAGGTCCTGATTGCAAGTGCACATTCCTGAACCAAGTAGAAAAGTTCATATAAGCATGTTTATTGTTTATTTGTGAAAGAAGTTATAAAGTAATATGACAATACATGCAATCAGACTACAAGTGAACATACAATGTCCACCTGAAGCCAAAGGCTTGTGCGCGACATTCAAGTTAAACTTGTATAGTGTACACTATTGTATTTTGCATAATCAAAATATTTAATATAATTTAAAACAATAACTTTATGATGAATCCAAATGAAGTATTCACAAAGAAACGTGTTAATTAAATGTACATAATAAACAAACAAGAAAATGAATACAGATGTCTACAGAATGAGGAAACTGATTGAACTAACGCGCTACAACAATTTTCAATTCGACGAGCTGAGCTGCAAAATGTCGACACATTGACTGGATCCACTGTTTTAGTTTCCTTCATCTTGTTTGATAAAAATATGTTAATAACGGCAGAACAACATTCTCTGGGGGACGTCCAAGTATTTCGTAAGCAGGGTTAAGTGGCAGAATAGCTAAGCTTCGCCCCTAATGAAGATGATTATTATTATTATTTTCCAAATTAATAGCCCCCTCCCCGTTGTCAGCAATATTTTTTTATTTTTTCCTCGGTAACGGAGTACGATACGAAGAGATACCAAGAGACAAAAAAGTTTTAGCTGCTTAATCCGAAAAAAGAAATACTGCTTTGTAAAAGCCATTGGTGTACATTTTTTGTCAATGTTAGCCATAAGGCTGCCCCACGGGATGCCACTGGAACTTAGAATGATCTTCTGCTTGGTGCTAACTTGGCATTTTATTGGAATGAACAACAAAGACTACATTCATCAAAATCTGCAAAAGTTTCGTGTTATTAATAAATATACATTTTTTTAAACTTTCATAGTCTGTATCTGTGCTTGCTCCACTTCTTCTTAATCTCCATTTAGCAGATCTGGTGCAAGTCATGCACTCGCAGATGACCCTCATGTCGGCACAACAACAGCTACAAAACAAGCACTTCAAGAAGAGCTTTGTCAGCTAGGTAACTATTTTAAAAGGTGGTGGTTATGCCCAAGTGAAGCAAAAACAGAAGCTTGTTGCTTCCATCCATGAAACTCTAGAGGTGGAGTTCAACGGCAGAGCCTTAAAACACAATGGAACTCTCAAATACGTAGGAATAACGCTGGACAGGTCATTTACATTTAAACAGCTTCTTGATGATTTGGCTGACACCATCAAATATCCGCAGGACCACAGCCTTGATGAAAGAATACAACAAAGTTTTGGATAACGAATACCTACCGATTCATATAGATACAGAGGATTACCATCGGCTTAAATCCAGATATCCAGTAGTGAGAACCACCACGGAAGTTGCTCAAAGATTTCACACCTCTACTGAGTGGTCTGGAGCCTGGGCACAGGCTTCTCAAGATGATTCCATCCAGCTAAATGATCCAACCCAAGGCTTCACTGGATCTGATCTGCCTTGATGCTTCTGGTCTGAGCTGAACCGGATTAGAACAAGATATGGAAAGTGTGCGGATTCCGGGCATACCGGGGGCTGCGCTCAATTCCCTCAATGTGATTGTGAGTACCAACGGCAGACAATACGCCGTCTCGTGGTAGAGTGCCCTGAACGTGCTTATAATAGCGACCTTGCAGATTTTGTGTCATTAAGATGTAGATATATAGTTTATGATTTTTTTTTATTTTGCTTACTCCTCTTTGTTTTTTCATTAACTTTTTTTCTGTAATTGTTTTGTACAGTACGTGAAATGCTTACTGCTAACCAGAGTTTTAAGGAACCATGGTTATATGAACTTTCCTACTTAAATTTGGTTCAGAAATAAGAATAATAACGCACTGTATATTCAACGATTTTGTCACCGTCGGAGAAAGGTATTCTCTTTTTCAGCAATCCCGGACGATTTTTTGCGTAGTCAAATGTTAGATTGGGTGTACTATATCGTATGATATCAATATACTAAATTAAAATCACCTACAGATAAGATATCTTCATGTGAAGATAATGACAATGAGGAATACAGAAATCAGACACAACAGTGGCACACGTATCAAGAAAGATGCTGGAAGGATGCGTAGTTTCACACAAACTTACTATGAATTTATCATACTCATCATCCAATTTGTATGCATATGAATACATTTGATCTACCGTTGGGTAGTCAAAAGGTGATCTAGTGAGAAGGTAATGTCTTGGTATCTAAAAATACAGCAGCTCTTTATTATGGAACTTCATATGGATATCACACATGAACAAATGGTTTGATATTATACAGGGTGGTACAAAAACTATGACGTTCCTTAAATGTTCGTATAGCTAGAGTTAGGTTGATGTGTATATCGTAGCCATATCATAGAATTATTCATTTAATTATAATATAATAATATAAAATACTATATTAGACCATACCGTTAAATCGCCAACGCTTAAAGTTTCGACATCTACGATTGATCATATCGTAAGGTAGGGAGTCCATAAAACAAAACAAAAAAACGTATAGTACTAGAGTGACTTTTTATCGTGAAGTATTTTAATTTCATTTTCTTCCTCGCTCAGTAACGAATTATTAGAAATTTCACTTCTAAAAACAAGTTTGTTTCAACGACCGCCATGTTGATATGTAAACAAAGCGCTCCCAGCACCTCCGTCTGTAATTAATGGAACTATTTCACAATTTGATCAACTAAACTTGACCATTGCTGGTCTGGTAGTAGTTGAGAACTCAAATTTTCATATATATATATATATATATATGTGTATATATATGTCTATATACCTATATGTGATGTATGTATATTTGTATATATACTAAGTGACATATAAATCCGAACACCCAGTTTAAATGGTTTTATTTTAATAAAAGTTGGTGAATGTATTTATCTTACTGTAAATAACAAGTGAAAAACTTTTCAGGCTTATCAGTTGGACATTCCGGTTTTTATACTGCTTTTTTTTAATTCACTAACGCTCTAAATATGAATATTTCAGACGCAGTAAAGAATCAACGTTGGCGGATATTGGTTCTTGACATCCTTTACGATCGGTTACGATGCCTAGAGTACGGAGACCTGTACGATTTCGTCAACTTAGTGAGTTTGATAGGGGCCGTATAGTGGGATTTCGGGAAGCTAGACTTTCTTTTCGGGCAGTTGCAGTTAGAGTGCAAAGAAGTGTAGACACTGTGGTCAGGTGTTGTCAGGAATGGCTTCGAGATGGCCGGACGCAAAGAGCAAGGGGCAGTGGACGCCGCCGTAGAACAACAGACCGTGAAGATCGCCGCCTAAGATTATTGGCCTTAAGGGACCGTTTCTCCACTACCAGGTCCATTGCAAATGAATGGTTTGCAGAACACGGAAGACCTATTGGCATGCGAAGTGTTTACCGACGAATGAGAAGTTTTGGCTTGTTTTCATACCGGCCACACTGGGTCCTCCCTTTAACTCGAGAACACCGACGTAATCGCCTTGAGTGGTGCAGACAACGGTCACTCTGGAATCAGGAACAGTATTGTCTTTAGTGACGAGTCTCGATTTTGTTTAGGCATGCACGATGGTCGTGCCAGGGTTAGAAGGCGACGTGGTGAAAGGAGGAATCCACAGTTTTTTGTTGAAAGACATGTTCATCACACTGTTGGAGTTATGGTTTGGGGTGCTATAGCTTATGGTTCCAGGTCACCTTTAATCTTCATCAGAGGTACCATGAACGCGCAGCGTTATATACACGAAGTTCTAGAACCCCATCTTTTACCCTATCTTGACACCCTGGCAGATCCAACTTTCCAACAAGATAATGCCCGACCACATGTTGCAAGAGTCACAATAGACTTTTTTCAACATAATGATGTCACATTGTTACCATGGCCACCAAGATCTCCCGACTTATCCCCAATTGAGCACGAGTGGGATATAATGGGTAGGAGATTGCTCAATTTGCAACGTCCTCCTCAGACTCTAGAAGCACTTCGAGAGGAGTTGGTGGTTGCCTGGAATGAGATACCACAGGAGGACATTGACCACCTGATCAGAAGCATGCCTAGGCGCGTTGGAGAATGCGTAGCACATCAGGGTGCATCCACACATTACTAAAGGTCAAAGGGCTTTAAAGCAGTGCAATCATTTTGAAATTTTTATCATTTACTTATTATGCTTCATTAAGTACTTATACAAAATTTTATTAAAATAAAACCATTTAAACTGGGTGTTCGGATTTATATGTCACTTAGTATATCTATATTAGTTATAAGGAACTGATTCCAACGCACAATAATTATTTCTTCTATGTACGTGAATAAACTCATTATTATTATTTCATGAAATGGGCAATTTTACGACGTTGCTACGATACATACATCCAAATCCCCGTTTTTGTCTAGTTTCAGATTTTGGTTTTTATTATATCATTGTACTTGTATATAGCCAGATGGGTCATGATAGGAAGCAACGGACAGTAAACCTGAACAAATTCCGAAAATTTTTGTTTTGCGTATGGATAGCAATAAAACAGTTTTTATTGAGGTTATTATCAAAATCTCTATGTTTCATTGATTGCAATCATACAAAAGTTGGAGTTGAAACACACGTTGTCTGACACCACTACGTGTAAAGAATAAGAATAGTCTTACATTCACACTTTTGATACCGTTATGTGTAGATAGCATGTGTTCGTCATAAGCAACATACATATGATGGACCGAGACGCCATGATGTAGTTGAAACTTTTACATTTGTGACCAAATACCAGGCACGGGCTAAATTATTTGATCCTTATTGGCATTAAATACAGGGTGATTAAAATAATGGCAGTGTTTCTTGGTCAGGAAATAGATCAAAAAATAACACAAACAGTTGACGGGGTTTCTCAAATATCACCTTACCAGATCTAAGGTGGATAAGATCTCGTACGTGGGCTAAGCAATAAAAACAAACATGTTTGAGGCTCTTATTAAACGACGCGCGTAGATACTGGAATATTTTGACCCCTACAGAATAAAAAAGAAAAATATTTTCTACAGCACTAACTTTTCTGAAACATTTTTAAAAATGATACTTGATTTTAAATAAAGTCTGTTTTGAGAAATTATTAATATACCATTCCTTTTGGAGAAAAATTGGTTTGGAGGTTTAAATCCATTAAAAGAGTTGAATTCGTTCTACTCAAATAGTATACCGAAACCAGGAAAATATAATATAATAACATGCCTTTATTCGCTTATTTCGCAGATATGTTGTTATTTTGAAAAAGGTGAGGTACTAAAATTTGAAATCAAAGAATCGAAATAAGATATTTTTTAACTCAGCCAAGAATTAAGTGTACAAACACAAATGAAAACTGTAGTACATATGATTTGAAACCAGTGCTTAATAGTGTTCAAGTCTACACAAGTATTCATATTTAGATTTCACGTTGTATGATGGTCATAAAAAGTCATAATACCCATATAATTTAACTCGAAAAATTGTTTAGTCAGTCTTATTATAGCTGAACTTTTAAAAATTGACATCATATTATCAAGTGGAGGAGAAGGTTAGAATATGCACTGCTTTTAGTTTCTTCTTGAAATTCATTATACTGTAATTGGAATACTCAGTTGGAAGATTATTGTAATGTTTGACTGCTATGTATAAAAAGCTCTTTTTCTATAACGACGTAAAGCGGTAGGCTATAACGAAATATTGACTATTTCTTGTTGTCAAGTTGTTAATGTCTTCAAATTTTTGTAGTTTATCGAGAAGGTCTTCTGGTTTTTGATTCAATAAAGTATCACGGACGAATGATAATGTATGACAGATTATAAGATTTTCTAGATTCAATTTTCCGTTTTCCTTATAAACATGACTTATATTGTCATATTTTCTAATACCAAGTAAATAACACAAACAAGATTTTTGAAGTTGCTTCAGTTTGTTCTTATCACTTTGCGACAACGCGGGTCCAAATACAGCATCACAATAAGATATCCTTGAAATCACTATTGAATCAAACAGTTGTAATTTTATCCTACTGTTAAGTAAATAATAGGATACAATTGTTTAAGAATACTATAAGACTTTGAACATAATTCCTTTACATGATGGTCCAATTATTTTAATTCATTATCCAACCACAATCTCAGATTTTTGCTTAGTTACGGTTGGCAAATGCATGGTATTATTAATGTTAATAATGTCTAATGTTAAGCTGATATAGACTTTCTACTATAATCCGTCTCTGCATGTGATGCATGGTATTTAGATCATTGTTAATCAAATCAGAGGAAGGAGATGCATCATTGATATGAAAATCATAATATGGCGTCTGCATAGTGATGAATGTTGCAGTACTCTATATTGCTAGAAAAGTCAGAAATATATAGACAGAATCACCTAGGACTAGGAATGGTGCCTTGAGGTACTCCCATCGCTATGGGGATTTTATTGGAATTATTCAAATCACCTGATTCATATTGGTACCTTTCTTTCCGAGAACATTTTATAAGTTAACCATAAAAAATTGAATATAGTATATGAGTGGAATGCGTCAAACTCACTTCATTACCATATAATTTGGTTTTGACCCTAATAAGTAATTAGTAGCTTATAAGCTTCCAGCACCATGTATCTTATTTTACAATCTTTGTTTATGGGAACTTATTTTATTTTCGGATGTGCTTTCTGCTCTAGATATATTGCCATTATTTTTTCATCACCCTATATGTGACTGGATCACTTTGTACCACCTTGTATTTAAAAATACGTATCTGGCTACCACAAGTGTGAAAAACGGGCGAACACCTAAAAATTCACAAAATGTTTGTCGCTATAGTCGAAGAGAGCTATTATTTCTTCATATTTTTTTCTGCCTCTTCACCTTTAAAAATTAGCTTAAATGTATAAATTATACAGTTGATTGTAACGATTGTTTTTAATGTATCGAATCAGAAAAAATGGCTCGTTTCCGTACTGAAAAATTTAAATAACACACACAATGCTTCTACCTAAACGAGTAAGAATATACAGGGTGCGCCAGAGGAACCTGACGACTCTTAATATGTAACTACAAATGTATCTTTCAAGATGTTTATTTTCACATACAAGTACTCGAAAGTGTATGTATTACATGCCGTTTTATTTATGGAAAATAATTTCGCTCAAATGACGTCCTTCACTGCGGACACACTGTTCCAAACGGTTTCGCATATTTCCCTTTACTCGCTGTAGCATACCCATCGGAATTGTGCTAATTTCATTACGAATGTTATCTTTCGATTCTTTAATGGTCCTTGGAATCGTTAAATACACCTTACTCTTAAGATAACCCCATAACCAATAATCACAAGCCGTCTTATATTGAAATGTGCCCGAAACAGACGTTGTGTACTGACCACCGAGTCGTGATTTTTAAAATACGCCTCGACAACGAATGGGCGATGTTCACTCATCTACAGCTCCATGACTACTGAAATGGCATCTATCACCGATGTCTTTCCCACTGTAACCGCTGTTCTACGTTATATAACGGCTTTACACGAATCATTATAAAAACGTCAGGTTCGTTTGGCGCACCCGTACAAGCCGCTTATGAAATATTTCCAGCGCTTTTATTTGAAAATTAATTACATTTATTTATAGAAATTGCCCTATTAAGTTTTCAGTCCAGCTTCACTGAACTTATCTTTGAAAAAGTAACTATAACTGATGGATTTATTTTTGATTTGTACAAAACAGACAATCTAAATATTATTTTACATCTCTAATTCCGTTTTCATACTGGGCAGCTAGCTTTCTACAAAGCACGAAATATTTCTCGAGAGGTAAACTAATAGGTAGTTTTAAGCACACTGAGCTATAACTTACTTTTCCAAGTTGTTCTGAAATTGACGGTTCATCAGAGTAATCGTATTTGTCCCCTGCAGTGTCATATACTTCTTTAGATTTGAAATACCGCGCCGGACTCTATTACAAAAAACATTCTTATTTCAAATCTAACCACCTGACAACAATTTATTATATAGCAATGTGAAAAAGTAATAAAATTAGTATACTGCTCCTAAAAGTAAAAGAATGTTTTTATATTCTCAGATGAATTTCAGATGGAAAATACCTGCATACAAACATGGTATTAAAGAACTTTGTACGGATATTTAAGGGCAGATTCAATAAGTATAAATATGTATGAAAAAATATATAAACCACAAAATCAAACCGTTTCTATGGTACGAGATCTTTGAACTTTGTTTTTGATAATTTGTACGCCACTGGTTTAGTGTCGTTTTCTATGATAATTCTGCTTGAAAAATGTCTCCCTGAAATTTTTCGTTAGTTTCCTTAATCTAAACAAAAACGAGGGTAGACAATTTCTTAGTAGAATCAATCTGGCATTAAGATACCTGCTGATGCTAATGTTTTTCAAAAGCCATTATTATTTGGCTAAATATAGAAATTTTTTCAGCATACATGCTACTGATGTAAAACCTTTGATGATACATCTGCGTGGACCAATACTCGTGTCAGTATCTCAATCTGTTTTCGTGAAATGTAAGGTGATCGATTAAAGACGGAGTTTTACCGTGTTATGGAAACGAAAAATTTTTACGCACCTATATTTATAAAGGCTTTTTCATATTCTGCTTCCTATTTCATAGAACTTCAAAGTTGCATTTTTGGTGGTAATACTCAAGAATAGAATACTGCTTTATACGTTTCTTTTTCTTTTTGCACAAAAGGATGATATAAGTTATAAGAATATAACATATACTGTATAGTATATCAATCGTAATAAAGCAATTTTTTATTATTTTTATGATTATTATAAGCTATCCTTAAGTAATAATCGTTTCTTTTATTTAAGATAAAGATTCCCATCACTACACCACCATCACTATTTTTTTCCGTTAGCTGCAATGTTTCCAAATCATTAATCGTTTTGATTTGGTAATATTAAAACAAATGCCGCGCCAGAATTAGAATTTGATGTGTTTTGTCAAATTCTTTCGATTTCTAGAGTTTCATTACGATTTTCGGAGATTTTCTTTAACATTGTGATTCATTTCATATCTGTGAACTTTTTTGGGTAAACACGTGTTCATATAGTAATTGTATCTATACTATAATGGTTTTTTCTTTTCATCGTAGATATGGCTATCTATAATCTTTGTTCCTTGCCCAGAGAGCCGGAAGAGACTGTTGAGTGAGCCAAAGAACGAGGATTATTTCCAATGGCAAAACTGTGCAATCGGCACAGGATTGCGATGAAAGTAAGATTTGGAGGTGGGAACGGCAGATTTTACTGTCCAAAATCTACTACGGTATCGATATCCAATAGCACTTTTTTGAAGAATGTCGTATGCCCTTTCCAAAAGTGCTTCGATTAATTTTTTTCCAATACTACATTATAATTCATTTCTTTTTAGCATGTTTGTACTTGAAGAATTATTGAATAAGATTGATGGTTGTATTTTAACCAGTATAAATATGATAAAAAAATGTTCACCAAATCAAATCTGACGATTATAATGCTTGCGAAAATTGTATTTTTATCTTATTGACTTTTTTCACGCTTTCACGAGAGGGTGCAGCTATAGTGACGCTACCCATGAAATAAACAATCCTGGTACCGAATATCTTTCTCCACCTACCCTTGCGTTCTGGTATGCTAGCTCTGAATTTTTTTGAGTATATCTGTGTTATAAGATACATTTATTAGGTACAAATATTCTCGAGAAGTGGTTGTTGATCATTTTTCAACAATAACACTAGACGATGACACCGAAAACCGCTCTGTTGGTAAGTGATTTACATTTGTTTATTCTACTTACATATATGTACACAATGTTTCAAATATATTCATTTATCTTTCAGCTCCGGACGGCGCCAACATTCAGCGTACAGAGGCGACCTGGAGGCCAGCGAAAGATTATTTCCGCAGCCGACATGTTCCTGTCGAAGAACTTGCAGACGCTCTCTGCGAATATATTTGGCGTAGGTACTATCGCGTTCGCGGAATTAATATTTTCGCGTTTTCATTAGAAGCAATTAGATCTGATTATCACATCTAAATGCTTCTAACAAAAAAGCAATAATCGCCCTTTTCAAGGCGAATCCCTAGTGATGAGTTACTGTAGGGATTGGGAAGTGATTATCGATCGCCTCCACGTGGTACTCCCTCCATATGGTGGCTAAACGATCGATAAATAACTATTGTGTATTTTTATATGCAATTTCTGTTGGTACTACCTCCTTGTTTTCTTAAATATCACGAGCTGCTGGTGAATTTTTCACTGTTTATGCACAAAACTACTCAAAATTTTAACTCATTTTTAGTAAATATTGGGTTAACTACTTAGAAAACAAGCCATTTTCATAACACATTTATTTTTCAAATAACTTCATTTTTGATCTACGTATTTCTCCCAACAAAACGTACAATTTGGAAACAATGGACAACATTTCTCTTATTTGTCAAGAAACGAAAGTTATAAAATGGCAGTTGAGAATTGTTTCTACTTTCAAACATTTATTATAGACGCAAAAACTATAGTGTTTTTGAAGAAACTTGAAAAAAGTTAAGAGGCTTCAAGAAAACATTGGGAACTTTTAACACAACACCTCTAAACAGTTTACCCAGAAGAAACCATCATTTGAGGTATGTATTTAGAATTGTCATGTTAGCACATTGTAAGGCTAGTTTTCAACCTTTTTCTTTGAAAAACCAACGATTCTTTACACTTTGACATCTATTTTCCTTAATACTATACAGCTTGTGTTATATTCTTGCAATTTTGACCATCCATCCATTTTGTGCAAAACGCCAAAAAACAGCGAATAAAACATTATTCTATTCTAGATTATTACCACCAAAAATGCAACTTTGACGTTCTACAAAATAGTAAGCAGAGGGTTTGAAAATTGATGACCAAACAGGAGAAAATGGAAGGAAATAACAAAATTATAACTTACGAGCATGAGACGACTTCTATTCAGTCCCTGAATTAGCATGCTATATCGTGGCAATATTTCGTTTAAATATCTACCTAAAGTTTTTAAAAGTTCCTTAATTGAAGACCGGCAGGGCTATTACGTATCTATATGAAATTGTCATTTTGTAGTTTTATTTTTGACATTATATAGTTTTTTGTGACATTTAGGTTTTAATATAAGACGGCAACTTGGAACTAGTTGTTGTTCAGTTCATGTGCACTCAATGTGTAGCGGTACGTGTTGCCTAAGCATCCCTTGAGTTCTCATGGTATTATTGGAGGTCTAAACTGTAAGTTGTATATACTATAGCCGGAAGGAAACAAGCGAAACGGCAGGGCATAGGTGGATAGTGTAAATTTATGTGTTAGTAGTACCAGTATGTGTTGATGATACTTCCCATGGTTTCTTGACTCAAATATACTTACTTGAGGTGTATGTAAGGCTAGATATTAGTTGCGCATCCACTTTTTTTATTCATTCTGGAAATTAAATATGCAAATTTGCTGAGTTTCAAAAATATTTGAGTTAAAAAAAGGAGATCCTTAGTTGTCAAAAAATTGTTCGAATCACAAGTCATATACATGCTTACAGTAATTACACACATTGTGGGCACGGTGGTGATTTCCTGTAATACTTTTCAAAATTTTTGAAATCATAATTTATACCTTCGAACATAACCTCTCTTCAGAAAGGACAATTCAAAAGTAACCTGTCTAGCAGAGCTAATAGATATACATGGGCAGCATATTCAGTCATAATTTTGTCACATAGCAAATATCACTGATTTTATATACCAAATACCTCAGACTCATCCAGATTTCTTCTGACACATCTTCTCAGAGATTTAGGTACTCTACAGATTATCTCCGAATTCTGCAATCAACATGCTGGTGAACTGGTCGCTTAGCATGTCGTTGATTTATGCCTCCATGGGTGACACTCACAGTGGGCAAGAGAGGAATGAACTATTTGCACATTAGCAGCTATCTAGTGAGCAACTTGACATTTTTTGACGTTCAGGTAATAACCCTGCAGGAAGCTGACAAAGGGCAAGCCCAGTGACACGTATCAAAGTACCGTTTAGCAGTTAGTCTGCTTTTAAAAAGCGCTCAAAGTAGACGCTATAGTAGCGCTACGTTGTCATGAACGACCATTCAAGGACTTGACGTGACGTCAAAATTTGAATGCATACAATACTGGCTCCCAATGAGTATTCGTTTAACTTGTTGGTTCGACTGTGAAAAGCGAACATTCGTTCGAAGTATCAGATACTCACAGAACCCTTCCCCGTATGAATCTTCACCATAAGAGTGTTAGATATACTACCACAATTCTACTTGTAATATGGCTGCTAATAAATACAAATACAGGGTGCGGTAGTATAACTTTCTTTTTTAAATGGCGCTCCATTCATTCGGTTAATGTCGTAGCATAGCGCTGGTTGTCCTTTCGAGAGCATGGGTATTATGTAAAAAACCTATAACACGTCAAAAAACCCTGTAAGATGTCATCTTGGGGTGCAAACCGTCATTCCACGTTTGCTCACTAGGATCGTCCATCTATGGAGGAATATCTCAACTACACCTACACTTATTGTTAGTTGCATATGATTTGTGAAGCCGAGTGGTCTATGGTTTTCATCTCTGAGTCTCTGAGAAGAAAGTTGGTTATTTGGTTGAATAGCAAGATCGCATCTGGATGATTGTGTGTTTTATTAGTCTGCATGTTTAGAAAATCAGTCATATTTGCCGCGTGAGAATATAATATATTCATTACTGAATATGCTGCCAATGAAGTATATCTATTAGCTGTGCCCGACGGGTTATTTATATGGAAGACAGGTTATGTTCAAAGTTATCCACTACGATTTTTTACGTTTTTTTTTGTGTTTTCAAAAACTTTGAGGAGAACTACGGGAAATCTCCACCGCGCCCGCGTTGTCTGTAATTGCTGTTAGCATGTATATGACTTGCAATTTGACAGTGTACAGTGAATATAATTATTTCTTATCTTGTCTTCCAGAATGGATGAGAAAAAGTGGATGCGCAACTAATTTCTAGCTTTGAATCTCAAGTAAGTGTATTTGAGACAAGAAACCAATGGAATTATCATCAACACATATATATTATTAGCACGCAAATCCTATGCCGTTACCTTCAGTAATGCCATCGCTGAAGCAGATTTTACATCACATCATAGCCAAACATTAATAAGTGAAACCTCATGACGCTTAGGCAACACGTACAACTACAAAACGAGTTTACAAAAGTGTGCATCAGCTAGAGCAAGTTAACATCTTGTCGAAAAACCTACATAATGTCAAAAAAATCTATACAACGTCACTTTTCAAGATACATAATACCCGTGCAGACTATTAGGTTTTGTTCGGACACAGTTCAGTAGTCTTCATGAAGCGTGCTTCCGCCGTTGAGGCCTAATTTTCGCGTAGATGCTCTGTGATCCCAACCCAACGCGCCTTTCGGAATTGCTTTAATTTAGCCCGGTTATCCCTTGTCCTAGACAGGAATGAAATTGTTACGTGGGCCACTACTTTCAGGCAAATTGCAAGTACGATAATACGAAGAACTGGAGCCCCTAGGTCCATTAGATCACCTGAAAACATTGAGGCAGTGAGAGCTTCAATGTTGCGATCACCACGGCGTTCTATGCGCAAACATGAGTCTGCCCTTGGGCTTTCTAGTCGTTCTATGCAGAAAATTCTTCATGATGATCTTCATTTTCATCCTTATAAGATGGAAATTGGCTTGAACGTGACATAAATTCTCGGACGGACGCATGTGAGCGGCTTCCCAAAAGCGTTCCTGAGGACGCTATTTTTTTGTGGTGAAGACCATTTTCTTTTCTGTGGACCCGCCAACAAACAAAAAATGCGCTACTGGGCTGACACCAATCCTCGAGAATTGCATCAAAGTCGTTTGCAATCTCCTGAAGTTCCAGTATGTAGTGCAATTTCCTCAGGAAGAATAATTGGTCCTGGTTCTTTGAGGAAAATGAAGTCGCAGTGGCAATGAATTCGGTATATAAACAATTTACAAGATTTTTCCACAGCAAGATGAGTTGCACTTAGACGATATTTGGTTCTCACAAGTCAGTGCAACGGCACACACTTCGAGAGCATCGATGGCTGTTTTGAGGACACTTCCCAGAGCGCATCATTTAATTTAGGGGCGTTTTGGAGTGGTCGGCGCGCTCTTCCGACCCAGTAAGAAATTGATAACATAACGCCTGCTTTGCTGGCAGGAGTCATGACAAACGCCAGAGATAGGCTCACTCGGTGTATAGAGAATCGGGGGCGTTACCTATCTGATCCGATCCTCAAAACTATTCTGATTCGTACAATGGGTTTTTGCAAGTTTTGAAAAAAGAAAGTTATATTGCCGCACATTGTATATAACATAAACTACATTCACTATTTTATCCATTACGTAATGTTCTAACAATGCTGCAGTAAAATAAATACATGGCGTAACTTAATACCAACTTTTACTAAGAAAAGGTAGGAGCGTATCTTAAAATAAAAACAAATCTCGCATAATTTAGCTTTGCATATGTCCTGGAATTGTGCCAAATGAAACACATGCCAAAAACCTATAAATTCTGTTCCAGAAGATAAAATTGTTATACAGGGTGTTTCACAACTTATCCGACAAATTTTAACCACATATACACTGTTACGAAAGAAGTTGATTTCCCGAAAAAAAAAATGTAATAAGAGTCCTACAGAAATTAAGTTATATACCTGAGTTTAAGTATAAGAACATGTAAATAAGGTTTAATCTGTATCGTGGGTGATCTGAATGAAGAACGGTCGATTTTTGTGAAGTTAAATAATAAAGTATACTAAGTGACATATAAATCCGAACACCCAGTTTAAATGGTTTTATTTTAATAAAAGTTGGTGAATGTATTTATCTTACTGTAAATAACAAGTGAAAAAATTTTCAGCCTTATCAATTGGACATTCCGGTTTTTATACTGCTTTTTTTTAATTCACTAACGCTCTAAAAATGAATATTTCAGTCGCAGTAATCAACTTTGGCGGATTTTGGTTCTTGACATCCTTTACGATCGGTTACGATGCCTAGAGTACGGAGACCTGTACGATTTCGTCAACTTAGTGAGTTTGATAGGAGCCGTATAGTGGGACTTCGGGAAGCTGGACTTTCTTTTCGGGCAATTGCAGTTAGAGTGCAAAGAAGTGTAGACACTGTGGTTAGGTGTTGTCAGGCATGGCTTCGAGAAGGCCGTACGCAAAGAGCAAGGGGCACTGGACGCCGCCGTAGAACAACAGACAATGAAGATCGCCGCCTAAGATTATTGGCCTTAAGGGACCGTTCCTCTACTACCAGGTCCATTGCAAATGAATGGTTTGCAGAACACGGAAGACCTATTGGCATGCGAAGTGTTTACCGATGAGAAGTTTTGGCTTGTTTTCATACCGGCCACACTGGGTCCTCCCTTTAACTCGAGAACACCGACGTAATCGCCTTGAGTGGTGCAGACAACGGTCACTCTGGGATCAGGAATGGAACAGTATTGTCTTTAGTGACGAGTCTCGATTTTGTTTAGGCATGCACGATGGTCGTGCCAGGGTTAGAAGGCGACGTGGTGAAAGGAGGAATCCACAGTTTTTTGTTGAAAGACATGTTCATCACACTGTTGGAGTTATGGTTTGGGGTGCTATAGCTTATGGTTCCAGGTCACCTTTAATCTTCATCAGAGGTAACATGAACGCGCAGCGTTATATCCACGAAGTTCTAGAACCCCATCTTTTACCCTATCTTGACACCCTGGCAGATCCAACTTTTCAACAAGATAATGCCCGACCACATGTTGCAAGAGTCACAATAGACTTCTTTCAACATAATGATGTCACATTGTTACCATGGCCACCAAGATCTCCCGACTTATCCCCAATTGAGCACGTGTGGGATATGATGGGTAGGAGATGCTCAATTTGCAACGTCCTCCTCAGACTCTAGAAGCACTTCGAGAGGAGTTGGTGGTTGCCTGGAATGAGATACCACAGGAGGACATTGACCACCTGATCAGAAGTATGCCTAGGCGCGTTGGAGAATGCGTAGCACATTAGGGTGCATCCACACATTATTAAAGGTCAAAGGGCTTTAAAGCAGTGCAATCGTTTTGAAATTTTTATCATTTACTTATTATGCTTCATTAAGTACTTATACAAAATTTTATTAAAATAAAACCATTTAGACTGGGTGTTCGGATTTATATGTCACTTAGTATATTTTGCGAGTTTATGTTTTTCGTTAT